TAGATCTAGAATTTTAATTTTAGTTAATAATCACTTTATTAAAATAAAAGAATTAATTAGTAAGAGAAAAGGGTTCTTTTTCAACAATCAGTTCTACATTCCTACTGATATAAGTAGTATGTATCACCAATAGAAAGTGAAATACCTGGCGGTAGAAGGTTAAGAAGATCGGAGAAAAGAGAACGAAAACAGAGAATGATTGGTGTGGAAACTAAGGAACAATCAAGTCTGAGACGATTGATTAACATTTCGTAAATGAAGTATTTACTGTATGGTTCTTAGATTTTACTAAGATGTTCTGTAAGCTATGTAGTTACAGTTATATAATATATCCTTATGGGCCAGGGTAATTTTACACTGGTTTTCAAGAGAACCGGACACCATTCAGACTCACGTGACAACCCGGACAGTACAGTTCAGTCCCGCTTCACAGGAGAACCAGACACCGTATAAGCTTTAACGATACAATCTGAATAGCACAGTTCAATCCTGTGGCGCAACTACACAGGTACCAAGCACCCTGGTGGACCAAAGATATTCTGTAATTTTGTGTCCAAATACATTCGACTGTACCCCACATGTGTTCTTGTTTGCTACAATGGTTCTTTCTATTATAAATCTTCTCAAATTTTTACACTCAAACGTGAACAAACTTACCATACTTATACTTCTCCATCTCAGAAAATGTAATATCGCTAACAACATCCATATGAGCCACTAATCTCCATAATTTCACAAAGAAAAAGATATTTTCTTCCAATCAGTTTTTCATTTCATGTCGAGTTTCTTTTGTATCGCAAAGGTTTGTGTAGATTGTTGAGTTTTTTTTCTAGTTAAGATCAGTCTATGGTGTTAACTATAAAACTTGTTATTTTATTGAATAGGTTTTTCAGAGATTAGTTGAATTTGAAGGTGGTATTTACCGTAGATTGATTACAGTTGAGACACAATTAAAAACCAGAAAACACTAAAAATGTCTTTCTTTTTATTATGTGATCTCACGATAATGTGCATTTATTATCCTACTAGGATTCAAGCTTAGAACTACCAAATATCACCACTAAACTATGCATATTTCCAGTTTCCACTTAGTTTGATTGTGATTTTCTCACTCTTATTGTATTTGAATATAAATAATAAAACCCATGCCAGACAAAAGATATTGTTTTCTTACATAAAGTATATTGTATTTTTAATGAGATAATTCAAAAAACAATAATAGGATATTCAAAATATTCAGAGTCAGTGATCTTCAGTGCTGCGAGAGGTATGAGGGTGGTTATCACTTCCCGGTTGCCCATATCGTGGAAAGGTTCTTCTGGAGGTACCTGAAAAGGAAGTTGGGTTAGGAGTGGTCTTAGTGACCAGATAGCGTGAACGCAATGCCCAAGGGACAACTGTTTGAGGTCAGTCACACACGATCTTTTTGTGAGTAATTTTCTTGTTAGCTCCGTACTTATTGGGACCTCATCGCCGGAGACGGAAATCCATGGGATAAGGTGAGATGGGCATTTTTAGGGTCGACCTTTTCTAACCCCACACCTTCTTGTGTACAGTCAGCAGTACGATTTCGCCTTCGGACATTGGGTTTGATACATTTAGTCTTAACACTCTTCAACCGACTTTTCTGACATGTTAAATTCTTGAGGAACGACTGTTTTAGTCAGTATAGCTCGGTTGGTTCATCACGATAGGCAAGGTCGACCACCACGTCAAGGTAGCACCGACGTTCGGGAAATATTAAGAGTAATTCACTGTAGATGAAATTTAATATCTGGTCACAAACATTTAATAAATTAAGTAATTCCTAACAAGATAATTGATCAAACATTTTCGATAAGAAGTTGAACAGTATGGTAATAGTTGTGTTAACATAAATAGATTGACTGACCATAGTGGTGTCTAGCGTAAAAAGGGTGTTGTACATTGCATTTATGAGCCTGTCAACATGGATGTATGTATATCATGTGGCGAATTTTCTAGAATATGACATATTAATCAAAATTGATTGATCACTGGGTGGTGACCAATGTCATGCGCGTCTAGTCCTTATTATTAGTGCAGATCGAATGGTATCGATCATGTTGCAATGTGGCCATCTAATCTCAATATATATAGTGCCCGCAGTGTCGAGTCACCTAGACGGGTGGCCACATTGCAACATGATCGATAACATTCGATCTTCACTAATAATAAGGACTTGACACGCATGAAATTGATCACCACCCAGTGATCAACCAATTGTGATTACATCTCAGTCCTATAGGAGGTTAGTCGCGGCTCGGATAGCTTGTATAATTATGGTCTACTATGATATTAGTACTGCTCTAATAATAGACCTAATCCTAAAATTGTAGATTTGTCATGATATAACTGCCTAATCTATAAGATCTTACGTGGAAGTCGCATCATCGTCCACACCAACTCACTGTGTTATAACAACTACCAATACATGATGAAGAAAAAGCTTAGGCTAGAGAAAGAACAATATATTTAATATGAATAAAAGATATAAGGTAACATTCAGCAGGGACCACGCCTGCATGGCCAAGCCATGCCATTCGATCAACTCTAGTTCATTCAATTCCTTGTTCGCGCCTTCTCCATCGTTAAGTATTTCTCCGCGTTAAATATTGAATATCTATTTTCCGAGTAATCTCGTATTCAGCTTTGAGGATTATGTGGTTATGGTCCAATGCCACTACAAGCTCAGTGGTAACGTCTCTGACCGTGAAGCTGGGCGGCACGAGATCGAATCCGCCAGGGAGCACCAGTTCCCTCAAGATTACAGGTACACCTTGCTGATGAGTGCCAAGTAGCACGAAACCCGGGTCCAGGGTTTCCTGCTGGCTACCTCCAACCACCATCTAATGACATATTAATGAAAGTGCTTCAGTTAAGTTTAATTAACATCTTTTATTAATTAAGTGAACAGGTAAAAAGCTGTGTAGACAGGTTTTAACTTTCCCCTACCTACTTAATAAGTTAAGTTGACTTTCATAAATTCAGTTATAACATTATTTATTCAAGTGATTCTGTGATTTTAAAAAAAATATTTTCAGGAAACAGCTTTATTTACTTATATAAGTGATGTTTAGTGCATTGCACTCTCAACAGTTTGAAAACAATTTTCATCTTTACTAAAAAATTGACATCGGCTTTACTAACAAGTTCTTCAACTATGCAACATTTAACATATAGCAAACAATGTCGAGTCAATTACACTAGTGGTCACATTGCAACTTAATCCATAGAACTCAATGAGGAATAAATGAAGCAGACAACCATCATATTGGCTAGGATTCAACGATCAGTCAGTATAAGCATCTTATTCCAAGACCAGTTCAACCATATTCTGAATAGCTCATTAATAAAGTTCGGAGATGTGGGTTCGAATCCCACAAAAATCATCAGTTCCCTAATGATTCTAGTCACACCTAACTAAAATCGACTAACTAGTAGAATATCCATATCAATCAGGATTACAAATCTACAAATCACAACAGCCTGATATCAACTACCGCTTTTTACTACTGGATGAGATTTTTTATTTGAGTTTCCAGTTTATCATGACTTTTTTCAATGATCAGTTGAGGATAATAATAATAATAATAATAATAATAATAATAATAATAATAATAATAATAGAACTATGGCATTAAGTATGGACAATTAATTGGTTTTATGTTATCCAGCATCCTTTCCCCATTTCTACACTAGTTTCCTACTCCGTTTGTTATAGCCTCCAAACTTATAGATTGTCTACATTTTAATATTTAAATGCGTGCAAACTTGTATTTATGCCTATGTGCAATGGTATGTCATTTTTACGTTTTCATTATTAGATAGGCTAGTAGAAGTATGGTTCATCAAGTAACTAACTAACCCGTATGGTTATATATGTATTCAGAGAAGAAATAAATTTCATCATTGTATATTTAATAGTGGGGGAGATTTGGTCTATCTATCACTCTCCCTCTTTCTCTCTCCCGTTGACTTTTCGTACAATTTATACATACGTACATTTTATTATTATAATGATCATAGGTCAAAATCCCATATGCACACACACACACACATTCATTACTTACACACATTAACATTGTATAAATAATGATACAGGAAGAGAAGTTTAGAATTATTGTGGTATCGAATAAACACACCCAATACAAAACAAAACAAAAACCCATTCCAAATGCATTTTTTTGCAATTGATTAACGTACTGTGTGTGTAATGCGACTGCTATATATATCATATTGTACAGGTGAAAATGTTGCTTCCATCCATTAGAAATCATATCCATGAAACTAAATGTATAATACAAACAGTTCATTAATAGACATATACACATAAGCACATTTGTATACGTGTAACCTTATATATCATACATAGAAAAAAAGACCTGGCACCAAATTCATACTGCTGGCGAATACGTAAATATGTATTTATAAGTATCAGCATATCCACATATTTATATTAATACAGAGGCATGAACTTTAATAAACATAATAATAGTAATAGTAATAAACACTATCATTATTTTATTTTACTAATACCATTACTATTATCATTAGTATTATTATTCAACCAATCAACCAACTAGAACAATGGAACATTTCAGAATTGATTCATTAAAACAAAACAAAACACACACCATTATAATTTGTTAAACACACATTGACTAAGTTTCATTCATTATTCAATTTAATAATGAGTAGTTTATACTAATCAAATAATTGAATATTCTATTGAAATGTTCTTTATCAACTTGGAATATAATAATTCAATTCAAATGATTTCAAAGGAATTCAATGATGAATATAAGTATACATTAATAATTGGATATTTAATTGTAACATAATAATAATAATAATACCATTTATCAAAAGTTTTGTCAGGAACCACTCACTGCTACTACTATTATTACTACTACTGAAAAGAACAAAAGTAATAATTAAACTATAATAATAACTGAAAGATTATAACTGGTATAATTAATATGGATTTTGTAATATTAAAGGTAAGTTTTGATAATACTTTTTCTTTCATTCTTTCTATCTCTATTTATTATTAAGTTTGAATTTTGTAAAGAAATATGCAATTTAATAGTTGGATTCATGAGTCAATTGAAGCTAGATCACAATGGAAATCCTGGAAGCACTGAACGGCTGTTTCGTCCATATATAGGGCTTCTCAACAGTTCGCATCCATGATCCGGCCACTCGCGAGATTCGAATTCAGGACTTATAGGTCTTGCGTGCAAACGCCTAACCTCTAGACCATTGAGCCAACCGGCATCCAACAATGTTAATGTCTAACTTCAACTAATCCACGAAATCGAGCGACACATCCACCATTGTCGTCAATGAGTTACTATCTCACAACAGACTTGGTTGAACTCCACTAGTCACTATTTCTCACTAGAACTCCAAGAAATACCTTTTTGGAGACAATCACTAGTGAGCATATGATAATTATAATCAAAGGAGTTTTGTGGAGGTTGCAGCAATTTAATAGTTTCTATTTCTATAAAACCCCTCTCTAAACATTCAATCATTGATTGCAGTATTCTAATCAAAATTATCAATAAAATCCTTTATAGAGTTGTATTTTTGTCAAAGAACCTAGTCTTTTTTACGTTTCGTTTATAGCTTTAAACAAATAACTCAATTATCTTATCCACCACTTTAATGACATAAATTCCTATACAATTTCAATGAAGATTTATATAAGAATAAAGGTATCTTGTATTCTTTTGTACAATTATCAGGCATAATACCTGAAAGTGAATGTCATACAAAGATTACAGATATTAATAACTACAAAATATGAATGATAAGCAATATAACCTGACAACTGTAATTACTAAATGCACATTGAGTTGGTCAGATGCGATAATTTATCTTTAAGATTATTGGTGAATAGTGATCGGCCAGGTAATACTATTTACAATATAGCTGCGAAGAATGTTATCTTTAAGGAATCAGAAATTCTACTCGTTAGGATGTATGTGGCTCTGTCACCCTTTTAGTCGATATTCTTGTATAAAGTTTTCTTTTCTACTGTAATTATTTGTGTTTTCGGAGTTCTCGGCTTTATGTTCTTATCAATGAATAACGAAGGATACTCGTTTTTGATAAGTATCTTCTTTAAGAGGCCCAATTCTTTATTTGTGACTCCGGGACTACAGATTCTTCGTATTCTTGTAGCGAGTGTTATTATTAAGTCTTTTTTTCTACGAATGGGAATCCAGCTGTGGAAACTTGATAGTTGACGATTTCACATGGGTAACTATTAAAGACTGATCAATTACAGTCCTGTTTATTAACAACAGAAAATAATAAATCTTTTCTAACAATAATTTTATAATAATGAATTTTTTCTTCTTCTTCATTCCTTAATTCATTTTAGCCGTGTTGTTTTTATGATATTTATTATTGGTCATATCTATAGTTCATTGACTAATTTAGTTAGACATTAGTTAGACATTAATACCGTTGGATGCCGACTCAGTGGTCTAATGATTAAGTGCTCACGCGCGAAACCAGTAGGTCCTGGATTCGAATCCGGCGAGGTGCGGGGTCGTGAATGCGCACTTCTGAGGAGTCCAATACTAGGACGAAACAGCCGTCAAGTGCTGGGTTTTCGATGGTGGTCTAGCTTCAATTGACTCATGATTTCAACCAGTGAAATTTCTAAAAATCTCCACAAAATCCATTCTGATAATTTAGTTATACCAATCTAAGACTGATAATTTCCTATTTTAAAAAATTAAGATTTAATCATGTTGTAGTGCAGAAACAGTGAATTCATTCAGTGATTTCTTTAGTATTCATTGATGAGTTTTACAATACAAATCAATGTACTGGAATATATCTTCCTTATAAGCTCAATCTGTAATATCTTAATTACTAAATACATAACATTATATAGTTATATTCATTTGATGTTGTTTACTTGTATCTTCCCATTGTTATTTAAGACTACAATTGATCAGTCTCTTGTTGGCATATGTGGATTATTTAGTTATATTTATCTTATGTATGGATAATTTTTACTAAGTCAAAAAGTATAGTGAGCCCTAATAATAACTGATAGCAAATATTATGTTGATATTGTCATTGAATACACTTTTAATGATGAACATTATGACTTATAGACTGGTTATAAATATATATTTCTTATCCATTGTATAATTGAAACGATTAGTAGTGCACTTGAATATGATAGAGTATTGGAATAGGCTTGTGGAGATTGTTGAGTTTTAATTGAGAACATGGACTGATCACTGTCAGACCACCAATGAAAACCTGGAAGCATCATAGTATGGGACTCCTCAGCGTGTGCGTTCATGATCTCGAACGTGGGACTCAAACCCAGGAACCTCGGTTTACCTCAAAACCCTTGACCTCTGAACCACTGAGCTGGCATCCAATGGCATTAATTTCTAACTTAAGCCAATCCACGATATTGTGCGACTACTTTGTACTATATTCGGTAAATAACTACCCCACTCCCGACACAGATGAAATCCACTGGTCACGACTTCCCACTAGAACTCCGAGAATTACCTCTCGAAGCTAGTCACTAGTGAGTACATGATAATCACCACTATAGTGTAAAGATTGTTGAGTTTTGATTGAGATCATGAACAAGCATTCTCCATCAAACTCTGTCCTAGACAATACATTCCAGTTCTTTCCAGTTACTAATAATCCTTTCCATGTCTGCTTTAAATCCCAACGTAGTGTGTTATTTGGCCCTCCTCTTTTCCATTTCCCTTCACGATTCCAAGTTAGCGCTTGCCTCATGATGCAATTTGATGATTTCCCCAATATATGCCCCGCTCACCACTTCTATCGTCTTTTCGTAACTTTCTCCTCCACTGGAACCTGGTTTGTTCTCTCCCACAGTAGACTGTTGCTGATGGTATCTGGTCAACGGACATTGAGTATCTAATGTAGACAACTATTTATAAATACTTGTACATTTTTGATGATGGTTGTAGTAGTTCTCAAAGTTTCAGCTCCGTACAGTAGAACTGTCTTGATGTTCGTATTTTTATAATTAGCTATTACAGAGACTCCGCTTGGAGCCCATCTGGGTCTACTGCTAGTCCTAATCCCTGGTAAAGAAGGAGGGTTGGGCATGGTGCTAGCGACCCCATCCCGTAGAAAACTAACTCGCTAAAAAAACGCTAACTCAAATCATATGATATATGAATGAAGTGTCTGCTTACTTTCTCTAACAAAATTTACAACACAATATTTATTAATATCAGATGGGTTTTGTGGATATTATAGCAATTTCAATGGTTAAGATCATGAGCCATTTGATGCTAGACCGCCATGGAAAACGTGGAAGCACTGGATAGATCTATGGTATTATCATTAAATTCTAGTTTATTAGACAGATACAAAGGAAATTTTCTCTGATTGATATATGGTAATCAATTGTTGTGGTTACCTTTGTTAAATAATATATTTTTCAATGGTTAAGATCATGAGTCACCATGAAAAACCTAGAAGCACTGGACGCTCGTTTCGTCCTATCGTGAGACTCCTCAGCAGTGCGCATCCACGACCTCGCCCCCTGCGAGATTTGAACCCAGGACCTAATGATTTTGCACGAGAGCACTTAACAATGTTTATTGTTAAATGTTGTATGATGATAATTGCATAGTAGATTGACTAAGGAATTGTTGAAATAAAACCAATCAGAATACCTGATTGTCACTATTCAATTAAATATTTATCAAAGATTTTTATTTGAATTATAATGACAATAAGATATGATGTTTATTCTACTAATGTTCACATGTACGCTCATTTCATATGTATTTAGTTTCAACCTAGTCTAATTGGTAAACTTCAAGTACGTTCAATATGGAATGTATCTATAATGTACATACAAGTAAAAAAAGAAAGATGCTTTTTAGAAAAAATAATCTCCTAACTATTATTGAGTATTGAATAATCTATTTATTGATTATCTTGTCAAATAATTCAGATAGGTACTTTACTGTAGTTGAAAATGTTTTGAAGCCACTAACTGATTCATATTTACTGTTCCGGTTTTTATATTATATTATCACTAATCAATTAAATGAAACATTGAAACTATACAGAATTAAAAGAGTTTTAAGTAATAATATACCATGATATGTTTATTGAATAATTAATTCTGTCAAATTAGTTGTTATCTGATCAAAATGACATTACATCAGTAAATAGACAATAACAACTAATAACTATGGGAATATAAAATGAATTTATTGAACAGATATCAACTATCCTTTTTTTGTTTAATAATTATGTATTTTATTAATTGAATTCATGAGTCAATTGAAGCTAGACCATCATGAAAAACATGAAAGCACTGGACGGTTGTTTCATCCTAATATGGGTTCCTCAACAGTATACATCTATGGTCGCGCATGCAAGACTTGAACCTGAGACTGTTGGTCTCGCCAGTGAACGCTTTACCCCTAAACCACTGAGCCGACATAAACTTGAGTAGCCTATCAACACTTTTAGATGCCAGATCAATGGTTTAGGGGCTAAACGTTTGTGCGTGAGACCGAAATTCCTTGGCTTGAATCCTACATGCGGGATTGTGGATGTACGCCCATAATAGAACGAAACGGGCATCTAGTGCTCCCAAGTTTTCAATGGTGATCTTAGCTTAGATCGACTCATGAATTCAGCTGTGAAAATCCTACAATTTTCACAAAGTCCTATAATGAAAAGGTCAATCTACAGTGTTCGCGAAATTGAAAATTGAACAATCTTCACAAACTCCCCCCCCCCATCCATTATTAATATGCTTTAATTGTCAATCATTAAGTTGTAAAATACATACTGTAGATTAGATTCAAATGAATTAATTTAATCATTTTAATTTAAGAGAGAGAGAGAGAGAGGGAGAAAATAAACATTCACTTTTTCATGGTAATTCATTTTATTCTCCTGAGGTCATCTAATTGAAGAAAGATTATTTCTTAGTTAATATGATGATAGT